TGTTTTAAAATTTGCCATTTGGCTTTATTAAAGCACCATTTTGTTATTTTGATTTAATCGTGTTTATTCAACTTATCTTTAATGATTCTCTTTACAGGAAAATTATGACTTCCTATAATGGATTCTCCCCTCACACTCCACTCACAAGAACTAACTATTAAATTAGATACTAAAGTTAAATCAAGGCATGACGTAATACCTTTATATATGTCAATTCTTGTTCCCTGTCCATTATTGAGGGACACCAGTGACCTTTCATCCATCATTTCTTCCACTATTTTACCATTATTATCCATCGGTCTGCTTCCCCATAGGCTATTATGTGCATTGAAGTCACCACACCAAATTTCTCGTCTTGTTATTTATCCTAAAAATTTATAAAAAAACTCACTTTCTAAATCTTTCCATTGATTATCATAATTGCGCATCCTAATATTTCCACTATTTTCTAAGTTAAGTATTTCTACACTCACACATTCATACTTTCCAGGAACATCATTTCCTCTATATGCCAGTCCTTCTTTAATGAATGTTGCACAGCCTTCTCCATTACTGTTTTACTTCTATCTCTTCTGACTGAACTGTAACTGGGAATTTTAAAATCTAAAGATTTTAACCAAGTCTCCCGAAAACATATAACATCTGGAGCTGTTTCTAATTCATGTACATATTTTTTAAATTCTTCACCATTTACTAAGAGACTTCTAGCATTCCGTTTAAGAATATGTATGACCATTAAAAAAAACAAAAAACATTACTTGATAATTTCCTGCTGAACTCAGAAGTTTGTGAATTTGATCTGCTTGGACCTCTCTCATGTCAAACCATCCTGCTGCTTCTACAGTCGTTTTAATTTGATCACTTTTCTTTTACATTTCCACTGTAACATTAATAATGTGGCAAATAAATGCTACATAGTTATCTTTTTCACCATCATTGTATTTTCATCTGCATTACATATGTGCTTACATGCATTATGTTTATCTGGTCAACTGACAATGGTTTGCTTCTGTTTACTTTGTGAGGCCTTATTTTCCTGACTTAAATTTCCTTGATTTGTTTCTCTAGTTCCCAGGTCATTTGTACTTTCTTTTCACTTTCTTAATGCCTCAGCATATGAAACCTTCTATGTTATTTTTATTCTTCTGCTTGTCTTGCTATGCATCCACCAAATGCTGAGCCATGTTCTCCTCCACAGTTACAACATTTTATTTTGGAGTCTTTGTCACACTTTCCTTATTCATGTGAACCTCCATATCTTGCACACCTTATTTTCCCTTTGCACTCCATTCTTTGACAAACAAAACACCTTAATGGATTGGGAATATATTCTCTCACCCTGAAGTTTATGTAGCCAATCTGCACAGATTCTGGAATCACATTCTCAAACTGCAATTTTATTGCCATGGTGTATTTAACAACTCCATCTCTTTTGTGTTTTATCCTTTTTGCATCAATACCTTTTCCTCCTTTAATTTCTTGTTTGACATCATCCACTGTCATGTCAAGTGGGACTCCTGTAATTACTCCTCTTAATCTAGCAGCTGTGCCAGGAATGTATGATTTGATTCTTTCACCTACAAGAGTTGTCATTTTGAGAATCTGTTCTAGTTGTTTTTTGTTTACAGTATAAATTAATATCTATGCCAGTTTTCAAATTTGTTAATTAGCCTAGCTGACTTTATTTGTCCAAATTCCTTCTCCATTGCTTTAGTTAGTTTTATCGGATGTACGGTAAGTGTCCTTCCTTTTGTTTAAACTCGACTGTCACTTTCCCCTCTTCCGCTGCACCTGTTTTTCTTGCACTTGTTTTTGTCTTTTTGCTTTTTTCCTCTCTAACCACACTCCCATCTGACCAACTTCTATCTCTTTCCTGTCTTTGCCTCATTTCTCGTTTTCTCCATGAAGATCTTGACATCATCCACTCCATTTCCTCTCCACTATTTCCACCTGATGTGGAAGCCATTAAGCTACATTCAGAGTACAGCTTATGCAATCCACCAAAAGAGTTCAACTCCTACTGACTTCTCACTCCACTTGCAATTCTCCTCTGCATTCTGAGACTCCCCTATCGCCACCTGTGTCACTGTCTAAGCTGAAGCCCTTTTAAAAATGCATGGACTCAGTGGGACCGGCGAGGAAGCAGAGCTGGATCCAAACATTGATGGTCTTTATGCAGAAGCCCACATAGAAAAGCCAAGGGTGTTAAAGGGAAAGAGATTTATTGTCAGATGAGAAAAATTTAGCTATTTTGTCTCAGTGATGTGAAATATGTTTATGGAAGTCAAGTTTAGTTTAAAACTCCAAATACACTTAGGCTCTGTACCAAAACCGAAATGTGATTTAGCTTAAGGTTCACAGAACTACTTTGATCAAAGCACAGCAGCATGGCTACTTTTGAATGACTCGTTACAAAAAGAGGGAAGGTTTGGGATGGTCTAGACTAGCAGGCATCCCCAAACTCGGTCCTCAAGGCCCCCTGTCCTGCAGGTTTTAGAGGTTTCTCTGCTTCAGCACAGCTGGGTATTATGATTGCAGTAGACCAAAAGCCTGTTAATCAGCTTTCAATTAAAATCAGCTGTGCTGGAGCAAGGAAACCTCTAAAACCTACAGGACAGGGGGCCTTGATGATCGAGTTTGGGGATGCCTGGTCTAGAGGGAGTCTGGACTTGAATTCAGTTCAGGTTTTGTTGTCTATCATTAAACATAGGCAGCCCCAAAGCCAGTCCTCGAGGTCCGCTGGCCTGAAGGTTTTAAAGCTTTCCCTGCTTTAGCACAGCTGATTCTGATAATTGCAGTTCAGCAAAAGCCTGTTAATCAGCAATCAATGAAAATCAGCTGTGCAGAAGCAGGGAAAGCTTTAAAACCTGCAGGACAGCGGCCCTCGAGGACCGACTTTGGAGATGCCTAATAAACAACTAAATGCTAACAAACACTTTAGTGTAGCTGAAAGGAAACATTTCTGCAAAGAACAGACTCAATGCCAGTTATTGTAAACTTTTAGTGTAAAATGAACTGTTAAATTGGCCTTGGCCCCTGTTACGGTCCCAGTACTACAGACATAATACTAAATCTGTTTTTATGAGGAAATACACAGGCAAGAAAAACATACTGTAACTTATTGGTCCTTTAAAAATGTAATTTGTTATGTTTACAATTTTGTGGCTTACTTAAACCATGAACTATTGTCCTGTTATTTATTTATTTATTTATTTATTTTGTTTCATTACTTCGTTCTGTGCTGTCACTAACTAACAAACACTGCCACCCATGCCTGCCTGGTAATTTTGGTCTAGAACTTTCATTGGCATTTATCATACTGTATATTAGATAAAAAAAAGTAAAATAGACCAAAGGATACTGTATTTGAGGCTTCCTATAAACATATGACTGTTTATATGGCCAAAACTAGATAATAACTTAGACCAGGTTAGTTCTGTATGTTATAGGACACACAATATGAGACTATTTCGATGTATAAAATCCAAACACATTCACTTCCTAGTATTTTTTCGCAACAAGGAAAGCCTAGCAAACAAGAAAAGGTAGCCTGTAAAGCCGGAGGGTGAAGACAAAAGAAGACTCAGAGTTAAAAGACATTTTTTTTGTTTTGTTTCCAGCTTACCTTGCTCTCAAACACTTCTCCCTTTATAAGTTCTGCTTAACATTTCACTGTCTTCCACATAATAAACACCACAAAAAACCCAGCCACAACAAGCACCCAGGGAACAGGAAGAACAGGAAGCAGATATAATAAAACCGTTGGTATGATGATGTTACGCAATGCTGAACTTTGATTTGGCTCACATGGCTGCAGGAGTTACCCTCTGATCTTTCCCTCTTCCTGAATCCGGGTTTGGAAAGAGATTTGCTGATGAGAGCAGGATCCCTGAGGTAAGACAACAGATGGTAAATTTCTGACTCAGCGTTCATTGCGCAGAAATCACTGATAGGCTTTGCGTCAACACACCTCAGGATGCTGCTGCTGAGCGAAACGGCAGGTGGATCTACTTAACACCTTTATTAGATAACATGCAACCGCTGTGACCATTATTAAAGAGAGGTAACATTCAGTAGAGCCCTTTTTTCTGTTATTTCATCAGTGTCCCCTCTAGGTTTATTCCCTAACGTCTCAGAGCATATAGATGATGGTGAAGGTCATATTATTTTGATTATATTCCCTTTTTCATATTATTTAATTGCCTCCTGACTGCTGACCTCAAATCATTAATCCATTAGAGCTTCCCTTGCTTTTGTATTTTCATAATCTGGCTATTTCTTCATGCAATTGAAAAACTTATGTTTCATTGTTTAGAATATTGTTGTGATTAAAAACACAAAAATCAAAATCAATCGAATATTAATAAGGCGAATGGTGCAGAAGAAAAAAAACTTTTTCTAAAAGGAAAGGGATTAAGTATTCCCATTTGTTTCTAATATAGAGAATAATTGTTTGCCATAAAGGTAATATAACTAAGACTCTTCATCTGCTGTAGCCAGGTTTATGCATATGAACAACAAAATGCCAACATATTCCAAGACCAGTTTGTGGAACACCCTCTGATGTTCTGTTTCCTAAAGAATAAGAAGTCCTCAGCATACATTTCAAAAACCTTTATCCTCTTCGATGTGTATTATAATAGCATTACAACCAATGTTTCCCAGACTAAATAAAGGGGTTTACAAAAACAATTCCATTTTTGAAATGGTCGAGACAGAGCAAAGGGCTAAAAAAAAAGATTCCTGAAAGTGTCTGTTGCTCAAATTCCTTCCCATAAGGTGTTGCTCCTAAATCCTAAAACTGGGCAGACCTGAATCCTGTCATCCAAGCACTGAGCATTGGAGGGAGTCCAGCAGCTACTGCATATAATCCCCCTGCACGCTCTCCACATCCACAGCCGAGTTGTTGTTGTTGCCATGAGGACGGCTGAGTTGCAGAGAGAACGGAGCTGCAGCATCACACTTCCTCTGGAGTTTGCGTTCTTAAAATGGGAGGAGGATGAGGAGGAGGGTGAAGCTTTCCTGTTGCCGCTTGCTTTTTTGCTTGCTCAAACTGCTTGTTACTTGAATGGAGGGTCTGAATCATCTCTGCTCATTTTCACCGTTGGCAACAGCAACACCAGATATTTGCATTTGAAACATGAGCACTTCATTTTGAAAAAAGGTGAGTTGACATTTCAGATTCTTTGTTATTCAATCAAAAAGTGTTTTAGTTATGTTAGTTTTAGGGGGCAAAGTGTTTGAGCTTGACTTAGATGCGGCATCATCAATAAAACGAAAATATTTTGCACCTGATCGCTGTTTTCACATTGAGTTATGGGTTCTGAGCTATGCAGAGCTGCTGCCATCCTCATCACATTCTTTATGTAAACAATAATCTGCATCAAGATTGTTTCAGCTTCCTAGAAAGAATCTTCTCAGAATGAGAAGGTCCTTATTTAGATGCAGTGAAAGAAGTGGCATATCACTTTAAAAGTTAATGTATAAACAGAGATATCTAGAAGAGAGGTAAAAGAAACAGTATATTATTTGAGATGCAAGAAAGAGGAGATGAAAGCAAGAGCTGAAAAAAATAAACCATCCTCCTCTTCCTTTCTCTTCATCTGACGTGTTGCACACTTCATAGTGTTGGCAAGTGATAAGCAGAGATGCCAACACTGATCACACCTGTAGGTGTCATTTCTTTCTCCATTTATTGTCAGTTTAAAGAGATTTTAACAGCAAGGCTCACATTTTCCAATGAGCCGTACCTCCATATACCTGCAGCCAGCTTGCTCTATATGAGACAGTTATATTTAGAGTTTATAGAGATTGTTGTTTTCATGCTAACACAGCATTATCACATTCACAGGCAAGAGGGAGAACTCACTGGTTGTCCCTGTGTGATAGATACTGGGCGTTTTTCCCAGTGACAGATCATCTCAGCTGTTGATCTAAACTCACATTCAAATTCGCTTGTGTTCTGCCCCCTGCTGGCAGCTTTTCTAACCATATGTAAACAAAAAGAGATTAGGAAGATTCAAAGGTTTGAGAAAAAAAAAATCATGACCTTTTATAATAAGCTTTTCTAATATTACAGCTGTTATGTGATCATAGTTCTAGGAATAATAAAGCCATGAACTTTGTGTCACTAAAATATAAACATAATTTTGTTTCTGGAGGATTATGTCTGAGCTGAGTGAAATTTATCTTTGAGACTCTTTTACTCAGATTTTGTGGATATCAGTGTAGCTTTTATTGCAGAAATATTAGCTACTTTAAGGATTTCAATTTGCAAAAAGTGGATATTGCATGATTTTCTTTTAGTTAGGTAAAAACTGTACACTTTATATTTTTATGTATTTTCTTTATTGTTAGAAAATGGTTGTGCTGTTACCTTTACTTAGAGTAATTTTGTTTGTTGCTTTTTTTAAAGGTTTAAATTTGTTTAGAAATCAGAAACACAAGTTTAGAGAGTTTTATTCCCTTATTTATGTTCTTTTATTAGAACATATTTTGGATATATATAAATAATTAACATTTACTGCATTTTTTCATAAGAAAAGTCAATATCAGAATATATTAAGTTTTAATTAATTAATAATTATATTATTTGAACAACTTGTTCAAATAATATAAGGCTCCGTTTTTCATTCTGACCATAAAACAGTTTCTGCACGTGGGACCAGCTGCACTGGTGACATAACGCTAGTTTTTAATAAGGAGGGTACATGCATTATTGTGATTCAAAAATCACAAACTTCTATATGTATTTATTAAGTACAGTTAAAAGAAAATCCAAAGAAAGACTAAAAGAATAAGAAGCTAGAGAAACAATTTAGCATAAAACCTAAAACTGACATTTTGTAGCATGAAGCACCTTCAGATTTTTATGCACTTGTCAATGTTATGTTAGTTTAAATGATTAAATAAAGGGTAACTGCCCTTGTGAGATATCCTTGACATCTGGATATCTGCATTCTAAAGCCATAGTTTACAGGGAGGTTTCTAAGGATGAAAAGATGTTAGTCTCAAAATGGTATAATTCATGACAGAGTTACAAAGTGTGGAGAATTTTATAAAACATACAATAGGGCCTTTAGGAGAAAATGCTTCAAGGGCTAAATTATAAAATTAAATCAAATGGAGCTCTAACTAAGTACTGCTTTTAACAAATATCTTTCATTTTCTTTGGAATTGTATATGATAAGAGTCTAATTACTGTATATGATGAGAAACATCATACTCTTATTTCACTGCGTATGGTACAGCCCTCCAGAGCACTTTGTGGTACCTATGTGAAGTCCTAAGTAATGGAACTAAACCTCTTAGGCTCCGTTTTTCATTCTGACCATAAAACAGTTTCTGCACGTGGGATCAGGTGGAAAGAAAGTGTTTTGTCTGTCTTTCTTTAATACACTCAGTGTGCTGATTCAACAGAATAAGGAATTTCAGTCTTTGCAGCTTAAACTAATACTGATATGTTAGCTGATAATTGAGTGTTATAAAAGAACAGTGACATCTGGGGCTGTTTCAATCGAAACCTTTTACATTAACAAAGCTTTTTGCAATGAATTCATCTGCATTTGATTACCCTGCTAATTAATTTATCAACATCCTTAGAGATCAGAGCAAAAACTCAAGCTGTAAAATGTAGCGTCTTTGTCGGAAATAAAAATAGTGCTCAAAGATACAAAGAGATGAAATGTTGGCTAAAGAGATAAAACAAACCCTCATTGTGAAGCCTGATGTGAATACAGCTTATTTTCTGTATCACTCTATCAGCACACATACAGTAAGAGCACATTGGCTGTACAGCCTACTCTTTGTTTGTAGTGTTTTTGCCTTCTTACAAATCCTGCAAGAGCTGTCAAGCTAAAATAAAACCTCCCTTTTGACTACTGCATCCAAGAGCCTCAATCCTTGTTGCTAAGGTTACATCCGCACCATCAGTTGGAGCTACATTTTTTTTAAATGTGCTTTGACTTCAGGTTTTCATCATCCGACTCAAATAGTTGCAAGAGTATTTGTTGCATATTGTTAGAGATGACCACAGGTTTTCTTATGTTGTTTCCTGGACTTAAAGTGAAATGCATCATAACTTATCTCTTCTCTTTAATGAATATTTAAAAACAGAGCAGACATTTTCCACACATCTAAGGAATATATATAAAAAAGGCGATACCTATAGTTTAAGAACAGAAAAAAGACAAATTTTCAGCATTAAATTCTTGAAATTCATGAAATTTGCTTTTTAAAATAAAAGTAGCATCTTCCTATAGCAAGCTAAGGCAACTTCATTTATAAAGAACATTAAAAAAAGCAAGCATGGACCAAAGTGGTTAAAAAATGAATGAATTATAAATGAAATAAATAGAAAACATAAAAATGTTTACATAAATATGTTATAGTTAGCACATTCATACAAAGATTACCCACAACCGCTTGTGTGCTTTTTAAATTTCTTCACTGTTTGTTTGCAAGGAGGCGAACCTTCATGACATCTACTGTATTAAAGCAGTCTTTATAAATCAGTGCAGTAAAATGTTTCCCTCTTCTTGCTTTTTTGACTCTTAAATCTTAAAGCAAACAAAATCAGACAAAGTTAACTCAAGTTCATTCAAAAGGTAGTTTTAAAATAGTGATTTTATTTAGCAATTGAAAGTTATGTGACCTGACCTGAACCGATGTGGAAAAGTATATCCTCCCCAGGAACTTTCTGTAGTTTTGTTTTTTGCCATCCCTCTCATACAAAAAAAACAATGTGACAAAAAGAGAAATAGATTAAATCTATAAGATGACAATTGCTTTTTCAAAGTTTCATAGCCTATTAAAGACATCTGAATCATTTATAATCTTCATAATGTTAAAAGAAATGGATATCAGAGTAAATATTTTCACATTAAAGTATATTCTTAATATAGTATAAAAAAGTGCAGGTTGCTACCTTTTTTTTAAACTTAAATATTCTTATTTAATAGAATTAATTTTACTTTTACTTTAAAGATTGAAGGATTTACATGCAGTATAATACAGCTAACCCCTTTTAGCCAAAATGAAATGCTTCATATTTAGCTGCTCTTGAATATTTCAAAAAATATATATACGACCCATTCTTATACTGACATGTTTAGAACAGACTTCACTGTGTTACAGATTTTATGTTCCTTTGCTTCTCACCCACAGGCAGATCTCCAGATGTTTAAGGGGACTGCAGCCCACCTATGTTTGTACTGGAGAGCTGTGTACCTGCTGGCTGCGGGGGTGGCATTACCGTCTGAAACGCTCTGGCTGTGTCCACCTCCCTGTCGCTGCAACGCTGCTGTTCTGGAGGCGAACTGCTCTGGTGCTCAGCTCGGTGTCATACCCAATGGTCTCCCCCAAGATGCCGAGCTGCTCAACTTAACCCAAAACGCCATCAGGACTTTGGTGAATCAGCAGTTTCACACACTAACTCAGCTTTTACACCTTGATCTAAGTGACAATCTTTTGACATTGATTGAAGTGGAAGCCTTCTTCGGTCTGCAAAATCTGTTGACGCTGAATCTTTCATACAATCACCTCACGATTATTTCAGTGGGAGTGTTCGCTGGTTTGACGAACTTACAGTTACTGGATATAAGTAGCAATAAGATTCTTGTGTTCTTAGACTTTACTTTCAGAGACTTAGCATCTCTGGAGGTTTTCCTAGCAGACGATAATGACATTGTTTTTATCTCGAATCAAGCCTTGGCTGGACTAAGTAGACTACAGATGCTGGATCTTGATGGCTGTAACCTCACTGCTGTGCCAACAGAGGCGCTCACTCACCTGAGTGTTTTGAAAAGCCTTCATGTTCACCAGCTGGGCCTCAAAACGCTACCAAACTACTCTTTCCATTCTCTGCTGCACCTTAAAGAGCTCGTCATTACTCATTTCACCAGGCTGGAGACTCTGTCAGGCAACAGTCTCTTCGGCCTTAACCTTACATCCTTAACCATCAAACACTGCAACCTCAATGAGGTACCTTACACTGCTTTGCATCACCTTGTATACCTCGTGTCCATTGACCTTTCTTTTAACCCTATTACCTACATCCATGGAAACCTTCTTGGTGACTTGCTAAGGCTTCAAGAGTTTCATTTGGTCGGCGGCTCACTGGTAAACATCGAAATAGGAGCATTTAAAGGTTTGGGATTCTTAAGATTGCTGAATGTTTCAAGAAATCTTCTCACCACACTTGAAGTGGGATCCTTTCATTCAGTGGACACCTTAAAAAGCCTGGGACTTGATGACAACCCCCTTGCTTGTGACTGCCGCCTGCTTTGGGTGGCTCAAAGGAGGCTTTCTGTGGACTTTGGCAGGCGGCCGCCGACCTGTATGACCTCCACCAAGCTGCAGGGCTGGAGTCTTCTGGAGTTTTCTGAAGAGGAGCTACAAAGTCTGCTTACCTGCCGGCAGGCTCGAATTGTGGACCGAAGGTCCCAAGATGTGAAAGTAGATCAAGGACACTCTGTGGCGTTTTACTGCAGTGCACAAGGTGATCCCCAACCATCTGTCATCTGGCTTAATCCACAGCTAAGGCAGGTTTCTCCTGTTGGCAGGATACGGGCCCTCTCCAATGGCTCCCTGGAGGTCCGCTACGCTCAGCCACATGATAGCGGAATGTATATGTGCGTGGCATCCAACGCAGCAGGGAATGAAAGCCTGCGTGTCAGTCTTCATGTCCAAGCCTTGCCATCACCCTCCAAAAAACGCTTTCGTCTTAAAAGTTGGCTGACTTTTCCGTCCTCTCCTCCAGGAGGGGACAGAAATGAGACTCTCCCATTCGATGTGAAAACCCTTCTAATTGCAGCAACCATCGGGTTCCTGTCGTTCTTTGGCTCTGTGTCTGTGTGCTTCATTTTCATGTTCTTCTGGAGCAAAGGAAAGGGGCAAATAAAGCACACAGCAACAATTGAATACGTGCCGCGAAGTGCCATGAACAAAAGTAACACAGGTACATCAAACTACATGGAGACAAGCAGATTTACTATGAAGCTCATATGAGTTAGTTTGATTTACAATAAAGCAGAGAACTAAAACAATGTGAAACTCAACATTCTTAATTGTTTTCATTTTTACATCTGATGTTACTATATTTTACTAACAGCAGAGTCCTGTTATTTGAATGCATGAAGCATGTTCTGTTCCAGACATTATGAGGACTACAGGTTGGGGTTGGCTTCTTAAAATATATTCAAGTATTATTTTAATGCTTCTTGCCATTAGAAAGAAAAAGGTTGCAGCTCCTCAAAGTGCAAACATCTTAGACTGGGAACCACATACGTAAAAGGTGGAGATTTTGACATACAAGCTCGAGATGAACCACTGAGTTTTTTTGGGCTGATATTTGTCTTTATTTTTTTATTTACCTATTGTGATTTTGACAGATTCTATTTTATTTCCTTGAGGATCATGATATCTAAAAGATGAGGTAAATGGTAGAACAGTTACTCTGATAAAAAAGAGTTTTTAATTAAACAGAAAAAGAAGAAAGTCCAAGGCTGTAGTGTAATGAATGAATGAATTTAGAGTTTTGCATACATCAGTATGTCCAGCCTTTAAAGGCTTAAAAGACACCAATATAAACACAAACATAAGGACCAGATATAGCGGGCACAATAAATTCATGAATTATTTAAATAAGCAAGTCAGCTGTCTTCTCCAGGCTTTACAAATAAAGACAATTTAAACACATTTAAATCAAACAATATTTTGATCTTTTCATTATAAAAGAACCAGAACATGTCAGACTTTTTAATCAATAATTCATCAAACAACACTTTTCTTAAATGTTGTATTTCCCCATAGAAAGGAAATATAACAAAACATTTATTTCATTATACACATCTCCCAACTCAGATAAACCAATAAGCCTCTTCTCTTCTGTTGTTTGAGAAAACCTTCCAGTTTCTGAAGCCAGGTGAATACCTGGATACATGTGCTCAGATGAGCAATCAGACATGTTTGGTTCCTTGTCTAACTTCCCTGTACATAAAACTGTTTCATAAACATCCTTTTTTTGTACAAAGGCTAATAGCTTTGGCATATGTTATGCATAACCATTTTAGTTTAATTGGGAATACATTTTGTTCTAATTTAATTAAGACAACAGGGATATTTATTTTGTAATATACATTAGAAGAGTTATCCCTACCCAATAGTAAACATTAACTAAACTAAAAAAGGTTTGCCAGAATGCATTCTGTAGGGAAAAAAAATGTTTTTGCTTTCAAAATGAGTCCAAACCAATCCAAGTCAGCAAATGAATGACCTAAGAACTGCATAAATAAAGTCAACACTAAAACATGATGTCCCTACATCCCAAGGTGGAGTGGTGGTCTAGTGGTTAGGAATTAGAATCCTTAGGTTTTGAGTTTGAAACCCATTGCCACTCTGGTTCTTTTGGCAAGACAACACTTGGCTCTGCACTGTTCCCTGGGCACCCCAGGTGGAAGCCCAACCAACACCAAGGGGAAAGGGCAAACGCAGACTGCAGTCGCATTCTAAAAAGCAAAAAAAGAAAAAAAAAAAAAACAAAACAAACAAAAAGCTTTTATTTCTTAAGTTCTTGCAAATATTACATGTTTTTAAGGACATAATATGGATTGAAATATTTTTCAATTATACAGCGTAGTTTCATTTATTTCGATGTCACAAAATCCTGCTGTTTTACTTGATGCATGTAGATATTCAAGCTTAAATTAATTTAAAGTCATTACTGAATCCAAAAATTTGTGTCTGAGGGTATGAATTTGATCAAATAAATAATTAAAGCCTTTTTTTCTTAATGCACACTTATGTGAAGGTTATTTTCATTTCCATTAAGCGCTCTTCAAAATTGGAAAGACAGGAGAATTAGCTGTTGAAATCAGGCATATCTGTTGATCTTCAGGCATGATCTGTTGATCTTTTTTTCTTAAAAAAGTGACAAAAAAGTGAAAAACTTACAAAAAATTTAGAGTCAGTGCAATAATTTATTGGATTGGATAATTAAAGTTAATTTAATAAAAAAGTAAATTCTCTTTACACGTCTTTATCACACATGCAAATATTTTTGAAGGATGTTGATCCCTGCCAAAAAAATAAAAGGTTTCAAAACAAGAGTAACAAAAAACATTAGCTAAATTAACTAGCCCTCTAGTTTGCTTATATATGTTTCATATTTTTCTCTTTACAGAAGGTAGCCTATATACTGTATTAGACAATAATATAACTTCTTGTTTTTTTTATCTTTGGATATTGTGAAAAGGGATTTTAGCATTATGTTGAGGCAACATACTATCAGCACGGCATCCTGTTTCTCAGTGCTTATTGTTCCTTTCTTTTTTTCTAATATTGTCACATAAACTGTATATTATGCAATCGGTTCATTATTTAAAGTTTAACATTTTTGATATGACATAAACTGCATGAAATAAAACGCCTGATCATTGCAAAGATTTCATTTCATCCACCAGAGAGTGGAGCTATTTGCACACATTGTGAACACAGAAACACTGTGAAACAGTGAAATATATACAAGTGCTTGTGAAGAACTGATGAAATAAATGACTAATTCTAACAACTGGCTCATGATGGCTTTCATTTACCACCACAGCCAACAGTCACAGCTGCCTCTGTTGCTGTGATGTTCAAAAGCTGGTGTTGTTGCTATGACGACACAATAACTCTGACAGTATGGAGCACTGAATGAGAGAGGAGAACCAAGATGTTTCCAGAGCAACGTTCAAAAAATGCCTCTTTACAAGAGGTTTTGATCTCAATTATTATTTCATCTGGTAAGATAAATGCTTGAAAATTTTCAAGGTCATTGATAAAAAAATAAATCACTAGCACTGAATGAAGTTTAAAAGGTTGTCATCAAATTTTCATACTACAGTCAAAGGTTTAGTTTATTTCTTTCTTTTCATTTTTTGATGTGTGGCATTTTGACCAATTTTTTTTTTAATCCCTTGTGACATTTGATGAAAGTTATACTGTAAATGTGTGTATGGAAAAATAATTTAAAAAATATCAGAATATTGATACTAATATTGATTCAGCAAAAAAGATATCGATAGGACCTTTTACATTTTTTCAAGATGAGAAGCTAAACACAGCATCTACATCAATTAACTAAAAAATATGTTTGTTATATATCTAATACTAATATATCTAATACTAGTACTACATTTTTATTAATTAAATCTACATTCTACAAAGTTAAAAGTTCTGAATTGGTTACATCACTAGATATAGTTAGATACACTTCAATAGAATAGAATAGAACAGATAGAGTAGAGCAGAATAACGGTAACAGTATTCCTGTGCACTAAAATAAAAAATCTAACAATTAAAAACTTAAAACAAAGCCTTGTTTGGAGAACGCTTGGGATTTTTGATATAAGACTGTCTTGCAGTGCAATTTTCCTTTATGTCATAATAAAATGTGAAAATATATGTTTCCCTTCTAATTCACTGTCATAGTAACATGTCTATTTATAAAATTAATTAAATCCAATAACAACAAAATCTTACACAATATAAACTCTTTATTTTTCACGTTTAACAGCATGGTGTTAAAACTCTACAATTATATAAGTAGATACCATTTTATTAAAAGTGAATTCATTTTAGTAACTTGAGAAACTGTATTTCTGTTCCGTACTGTTTGTAGGTTGCACAAATATAGGCTTCAAGGTTGCCATTGGCAAAAAGGCTTTTAATCTAAAAACGTGCTTCGTTGAAGGGTATTTAAATCAGGGAATAACAAATCTACCGAGACATTTTATTTTGAAAATCTAATAATATACTTACCCGGAAGTACATTAAAAAGTTCCGGAAGTGTTTTGCTGCCGCTAAGATTAGAGCTAGCGGTTAGATCCATTGTTAGATTTTTCTATTAAATGTATCGTAATTTACACATTTGTTTAGTTGGAATGTTTTCACTACTATATTAGAAAGTAAAGATGGTAACAGAAAAAAACATTTAATTGATCAAAAGCTAAACGACCGCAAAACAACAGGCAGCACAAACAAAAGCTAAGGTTTGTTAGCATTGCTTACAAGTATGAGTTTGGCAGTTAAACGCGAACCCAGGAAGACTGCGGGAAACCGCATGTCTAAACTGTTGGATGCCGAAGAAGAGGATGAGTTTTATAAAACAACGTACGGAGGCTTCAACGATGTGAGTAAATACTCTGGAATAGTAAACAAAAAACTGATAACCATAGGCTAGCATAAAGATGCTAATGTAAACATTCTACTGATTTAAACAAATTAAACCTATTATTTTCACAATTGTGACAGTTTAGGAGTTAATCATTTCAAAATTGTATATATCTATTTCAAGTCTATTTTTCAAACTTAAAATAAAAGGATTCACCCAAAAAACTGAATGAAAGTGCCAATTTATTACTTTTAGAATAACATATATACAAATATTTGCTTTGTAAGTATTTACTTCTTTTACTCAGACCTGCCCAATTATATATACTAAATTCAACAAAACTTCAGTAGTTTTCAGATAGTTTTCTGAATTCTTTTTTTCTGGTTTGGTTTTTGTAAAATAAGAAAAGTATAATAAACCGATAGTAGCTGGTAAATTAGTCAGGAACATTTGGACTAAAACTGTAATCAGTTCTTCTTCTTCTTATGAGGTTTTATGGCAGCTGGCAAACTAGTTAAAAGTGCATTACCGCCACCAACTGATAAGCAATTAAGCAGGGAAACAAGAAACGCCTCACCCCAAGAAAAAAAATAAAAATAAAAAATAATATTTTTCTAAACTGTTTAGCTGAACCCAAATAATAAATGCTTAATCACATTTGCCCTAATAATTTCTAATTTATCTTTAATGTATCATCACTCTGCCAGTTTCTAATGGTCCTATTGGTTTTCCCATCATGCTTTCCACCATTTCCCAGTTTAAATCTTTAACTTAAAGGTACTCTTCTGCAGCTTTCACTAGGGCTGGGTATTGTTCAAATATTTTCGGTGCCGGTACCAATACAGATACCTTCACTTCGATACAGGTTCCTGAACGATACTTTTTCGATACCAGTTTTATAATATAATTTACTTAGCAGTTTTACTTTAGAAAAATTAACATGTCTGCTTTCTCAGGAGACAAACAAGCCCCTTGAATGGGAATCTTACTGACAGTGCACTGCTGGTATGTGAGGGTCTGAGCGGCTCTGACAGAAATAATATTGGAAGGCAGGATGGTAATCTGGATGAACTGACTGCACTGATTAAGTTTTCAGGTGGATTTTCCCATTTAAAAACATAATAAAATACTTTATTCCCACTGATCACAGCAAATATAGCTGCAAGGCAAATAAAGAATAGAGTAGCTCTGCCCAACGCCCGTCAGAGAGCCAGAGCAGCAAAGCTGCTTCAGCCGCGCATCAGAAGCTGGTACAAGCAGCAAAAAGGAAGCAGCAGACGCGATTTTGCTGCTCTTTCTGCGTCCGGTGTGAAAGCAGCATGATTCACTCCGCTCTGGCTTTGCACTGCCCACGGGCTGCTGAGAGGAGGATGGTCGCGCAGGCTGCGGTCCGCTCTTCTTGCAGTCAAACACCGAGCAACTTTCTGCTCTTAAATTATTTCCGTGCACCATGTATTGCATTGTGCGCTATTGGCATCAGTCTTAATAAAGTGAAGCCACATTTTTGACCTAGGGGGCATTTTAAAGGGGTTCCACGACACTCACCACCAGTTCACAACAAATACACAGGAACCCTGGCTGTAGGCGTGACCACCTATGTATTTTTCCTGGATGACGCAATCATGTTAAGTGTTACAGCCAATCATCGAAACTTTGCACCGAAAGACGAGGCATGTTTCGATACTCTGTAGAACCGAAGCATTTCGGTCGGTACCATAAAAGAACCGATGTTCGGTACCCAGCCCTAGCTTTCACTATTATTTTGATTTTTTTGTTTTTTCTCATCATCTGTGCACTACAATTGATCACTTCAACCATGAGAAGAAAGAAATCTTTTTTTTTTTTTTTTTTTTTTTTTTTTTACAATTAATGAATCTTTAATTTTGGGACCTTGCTCCAGAGGTTTTGAACTTGCCATGTGCTGAACTGTTGGTTTGGGTTTTTCTGACTGGGATGGGATCCTTTTTGCAGCTTCAACATGTTATTCAGAGCTCAAATTTCAGTTTTTTTATTTCTTCAGAAATTTTCCTTTACATACAGCTGCTATATGTTAAAATGTTTGGCATTTGAAGCATCTCAGAGGCAGAGGATTGTACATTTTAACATTGTAGCTCATGTAGCCAATGAAAACTTTGCTGGGTAATTGCTCTTCTTCAAATTTAATCAACACAGATAAGCTATCACACTTTTCACAGTTTCCTGTTGTTTTTAACCTTTTAACTTCTTTTACTTTTGCACAACTTATGTTTTCTAGAATCTCCTTTTCAGGCATTCTTAGAGGAACTCCTCTAATGAGTCTCCTACTAATCTTTTTGTTCTCCACCAAGCTGCACTGAACTCTTTTCCCCTCAATCTTGTTAATCCATATTGCTTTGCCTTGTTGAGCGCTGTCTCTTCAGTTGATTAACAGGTCTCCACTATACAGTATTCTGGCACTTCAGACTTCTCCTACTAGTTTATTTATGGATTTTGTTAACTGATCCGGATCTCAATCTGTAAAAGACTCTGCTGATTAACTAGTCTGAATATACTTTGTACTCATTTTGTTTTCCAGTGGAATTTCTAGATTGTTCATCGCTTGACATTTCTGAACTGGACTCTCCTTCAATTGATCTCTGCTTTTTCCGCTTTTTCTCATTTTTTGACGCTACTCATGGCCCAGGACATTTCTCCACAAGCGACCTAAACACGCACCATCCGAACATGCCAGGAGATTTTCAAAATACCATCATCGTCTTCCCGCACCACGTCCAATGTAATCAGTATTTTGTTGCTACCCTTCATAGGTAAAAGAAGGGCCTCACCTTTGATTCCCACGCCTTGATTGTTCATGTTCTCATGCTTTAGAGCTGCCAATCTTGCCTGTTTTGTAATAAATCAAGGAGAAGTTTAGTAGCTTACTTTTAGATTGCTCAGTTTAAGTGTTAATAAACAAATAGTAGAGAGGGAGGGCTCTGTTCCTACATTGCTAGAATAAACTCCAATCACTCCTCTCTGTGGAATTTCACTAGAAAGCAAATAAATTGTAGGAACGGCATAGCATAAGGATCATAGATTCACTTTCCTTCACCTTGATCATGCTATGTTCAAACATCTTGAAGTGTACCAGCTGAAACAGCAGGTTTTCTCCTCTGGTGTGGTGTGTAGTGTTGTTTTGTGAGATTCACTGGGCTGATCCTCTTTGCACATAGCCTCTGAAGAGGAATGGACCCTTAATATTAATGAAAACATCAAACCTATTGTCCTGCGACTTACTGAATCAGGTTCAGTATAATTTGCTAAGTTTGTGCAATCAAGAATGGAGTTTGAATTGGGTTCTACTTTGCTATTGATGCTGCTAGGATGGAACTAATTCAAGTCTAAACTTGTGCTGATTGATTTACTATTGATCCCAAAGCACATGAGGTAATGTCCTGCTGACTTTGTTCTCAGATCTGTCTCTTCCTGTTCGAACTATAGCATTGTTTTTGGGTGTTTCTCGTGTTTGCTGTCTCTTGGATGCATTCATTGGAAAAGCTGATTTTCAGCCTCAAATCTGTACACAATCAGAAATGCTAAAAGAAAATGAAAAAATAATAGATTTGTACATAAAAGTGTGGAAGTCTGCGTTTGGGAAATACTGTCTTTCAGTCTTTTTGTATAAATCTTTCCTGTTTTTTTTCATTTATTAATCTTTCTTAAATGTTTTTAGTCTCCCTGACCACATTTAATTGTTTCATCACATAAAACCTGATTGAAGCTTATTTGTCCTAAATGAGGAAGTTGTGTTTACGGGTATGTTGGTTCACTGTTCATCGGCAGATACTTAAATTTGTCGGGGACAGTTTGCTTTTTAGAATATTTTAAAGCAAAAACTCAAAATCAGTATTTTATTTCCTAAATGATCATTTATTATTATTTTTTTATCTATTACTAATTTTTTCAGTTTTGTGTTATTTGAATTATTAGTGTGAATTGATCATTTTCTTTAATGGGATTATATGTAAACTATCAAGCACAACTGAATACTCTCATTATCTCATCCAACCTTTTCCTTCTGCTTGCATGTAGGAATCTGGAGATGATGAATATCATGGAGAGCACTCAGACACAGAGGATGAGGTGGACAGTGACTTTGATATCGACGAGGGTGACGAACCTGACAGTGACCAGGAGGAAGATGCTCCTCGGAGGAAGAGTCGAGTCGTTACCAAAGCTTATAAGGTATTTAATAAGCTTAAAGTCTATTGGTCTAATATAATTTAAATGAGTCAGAAATCCATTTATTACACATTTTTCTTTTTATTTTGTTTGAGTTATTATTCTCGTTTGACCAGTGGTTAATCTTGTATTTCTATATTCATTCAAATGTTTTTTTTTGTGATTTCATTGTATAGCTAATAGCATTAAAAAAATGGGACAGTATAATTTTTCTCTCTTAAACAGAATCATTAGGAATACATAGTAAAGTAAGATGAATGTGGCAACACAACTTCTGTTTTCACAGGATGTCTCATATGCTCCAATCAGATTCCATCAGTACCAAATCCTGTTCGTTATATAAGGAAAAATCACTACCTGAGATGCATAATTTCCTTTATTCTCTGCTGCAGTTTGAGCAAGCTATGTGATTTACTCCTGCCCTTTATTAAATAGTTCAGTTGTATGCTGTATTTTTTTTGTATTTAATCCAAGGAGCCCATAAAGGTGGCAAAACCCAAACCTAAAAAACCAAATGAGGAGCAGAAAAGGACAGAGAAAACCAAAGTGGAGCTCAAAAGAAGGATTCCCCAAGAATTTCAAGATTTTGCTGAAAGTAAGATGCTGCAATTTTTCTTCTTCTCCCAAAATTATGAGCCATTTATTTTCCTAAATTATTACATTAACAATAATAATGATCAGTTATATTATAGATAAACAAAAAATAAATATTGGGGATCTTAACTACTTTTCCTTGGTGGGTCTGTTTTAGGTTAATAATTTAATGCTCTGTCCTTATCTTTTACAAAGTAGCTCGAAAGTCTGTGAGACAGTCCACCAGTGAACACACGAGGAAAACCAACCTGCGCTTACAGGAGCGCCAGGATGCTCCTCGGAGACGGAGAGGCGCTCACCGGGATCGTCCTCTGACCCAGGAAGAACTGCTGGCAGAGGCTAAAATCACAGCTGAGGTCAACATTCGATCTCTGGGTAAGAATCGGATTAGTTAGAAATGTCTTACTGCTCAATTGCTCCTGAAAATAGAACTAAACTATGCAGGAAAAGCAATACAAACTGGTTAAAGTAACGACAACAGGCACTGAGAAATAAACTGGATAAAAATGTCACTTCTGGATTTGAATTTGAAACAAATGTGTTTCTCAAAAAATGGGAATACATTAAAAGTTAATTTATTCCACTAAATAATTGTTTGAGTTTGTTGAGTTTATAAAGATGGGTGGAATAAGTGGAAGACGACTTGTTGTTTCACCATCTTTGTTTGCCATGGCCTAAAGACCATCAGGTGTAACCATCAGAGTTAATACATAAATAAATATATCACTTTGTTACAATAAATCTAAAAACTATATGAGCTTCACTTCCTCAAATAAAACTTCCAAAATAAAATAAACACTAAAGCATATTTAATATCCCTTTAGGATGACTAACTTATTTTTGAATTAAACTGAATAATGTCAGCAATTAAGATGCACTTGTATTCTGTTTATATTATGCTGGTTTTCTGTACATTATTCAACATCCCTAACGGGGTAGATTCTTGTTTTACTATAGTTTATATGTACTAATGTTATTTTCCCACAGACTGAGCTCTAACTGGTTTCTCTTTGTAGAAAACTACGAACGTTTGGAAGCAGACAAGAAGAAACAGGTCCATAAGAAGCGGCGTTTTGAGGGGCCGACCATCCGTTACCATTCAGTCCTGATGCCCCTGGTCTCTCACTCACTCCTTAAGGAGGAAAATGTGGATGTGGAGGGGTATGTGTCATCACCAGTCAGACCCAGCTGCCCTTTAAAGTCTTTTTCAGACACAATATAAACTTCTTTTTTTTTATGTATGTATATTTTGTCTGCAACAAGTATAATCCGCCCCATGAATGTTTAATCCCTTCTATATGACCGTATGCCAAAACATTATCTCATGTTTAGCTGTTATGCAATTTAGTAAGAAGATTTATTATGATTTTTCATCAAAGGAAGAGATTAAAAAGGAAAAAAAATAATAAAGTTGATGCGGACAATAGTAAAATAAATCCCATATTGTACAAAGTGAATACAACAATTACTGATTATCTTAATGCCATCTTCCACAGGCTGGATCAGGACATCTCTGTGACTGCACCACAGAATCCCACCACGACTCCCCAGCAACCCACTGGAGGCCTGTGCTCCCGGACTTACATAACGTTCAGCGACGACGAAGCCTTTGAGACGGCCTTTCCTCCCAGAGCCAAGTCCAGCCCCCAGATTCCAGTTCAGGAGATTTGTCCCGTCACGCACAAGGCAGCGTTGTACCGGGACCCAGTAACGGACATACCCTATGCCAACGCTCGAGCCTTCCGCATCATCAGAGAGGCGTACCGGAAATACGTGGCAGCTCACGGGTTTCCAAGCAGCTCAGGAGGAGGAGCAGGGGCAGACTCCTCTGCGATGAAGGCGGTGCGCCCGAAAATGGTCGTCAAACAAAGTGGAGTTACGACATAAAGGAGTATTTTTTTTTTTTTTTTATACATTAAAATGTAAGCTTTCTATTGAAAATCCTGCAGATGTTTGGGGAATAAGCAGAAATTTGTAATGGAGTTAAACAGTAGAGTTTTCACACAACATAATGAAGTCCTTGGTTTGAGGCACCTCTATAAACCAGCAGCGACTCCATAAAACTGTTTCTGTTTCTCCAAACAACCTCAGTTACCTTTACAGGTCAGTGTAAGAGAAATACATTTCAGTGCTACTATTCACTGAAGGACAGATGGTTAGAAAGTCAGAGTTCCTGCGTAATAAAGAAAGGTATGGGATTTCAATATGGTGTTCTCAAAGAAGCAGAAAGATTGGCGGATTGTATATCCTTCCAGACTTTATTTCCTATTTGGTTGTCTTTTTAGCTTTCTTCCTTGTTCTAGGTTTGCCTTCTTACTTCTTGCCTCCCTGTCTCTCTCTACCTTTCTTGATTTCTCATGTCCTTCCATTTTTTTGCATTCATTGTATTCCTCTTATTTCCTTTGTAAAATTAAGTCTGGAGATTTGCAACATTTGGATACCCCTATCAGAAATTTTAGGTTTATTAGTGTCGACTCATCTACAGTTTGAATGCTTTCTTTTATTGTCCTTAAAATGTCAAGTTTTTTACAGATAACTCTTTTGTATTTTCCCTAAGTGGCAATCCTTTTCAGGAATAATGAAATAAACATTGATAACTTTGATTTATTGTTTGACTTTTTATTAAAGGTGACAGTGAATGAATATGGATGTGACCAGAAACTAGAAGAAAGTTATTTTTTTTTTTAAAGGTTTTTGGAAATACAAATATTGTCATCTAGATAGAAACCAGGATCACCAGAATATGATAACAGATTTTTAAATGAAATATGTATCTCAAGCCTTTTGTGTGTACAAAACAACAGGCAAAAAAAGTTAGAAAACAAACCGCTGGATTTTTTTGTTTTTCTCTTAACAGGCCTTATAAAAACCTAACTTTCTCGTGTTCTATGTAAAAAACAAACTGAAAATGTGTTTATAGTATGGTGCTGAGTAGCTCTCCAAGATCTAAAATGAGACGCCTCACAAAACACATTTGTTTTGGACTTAATTCTTTAAACATTTAAATTAAAACCTGTTAGTCTGCAGCTGAATTCATTCAGTCATCCAACTGAACCCCTGCTTAGTAGCTATCTTTGAATTAAACCTGAAACTAACACTGCTTTGTGACTCTTAACAATGACACTGGAAATTTTCTACAATAGCATGTCTGAATATTTATGTGTATTAGTTGCGGATTTAACTGATCAGGTAATAATCCCTGACTTCCATTAACACCCTGACATCCTTATCAATAAAATAAGGATAATACTCTTTCGTTTTTTTTCAATAACAGCTTCATTCTCTCCAGTTTTATATTCCTCTTCTCTCTGAACGTTAAGTGAAATGGTGAAGCATTTTTCATTAAAGTCTAACCGCTCGCTCTCTTGCCCTGCAGAACTCTGTATTTAAATGAAGCAGACAGCGAACAAACATTTTAAAAAGTGTGCTCGCTTGTTAATAGCAGATAATTGCCTGAGCTTCAGTCCTGAACAATGACGCTATGCTGATCCCTTAGGGGCTTTAGATTAGCTTTTCTATTTTTACTCTCGGTGTACAATGACCTAGCAAGAAAGTCGCCCCCTCAACATTTCAGCAAAGTGAAACCTTTAACCTCTTATGTCGCTAAATAAGAATCATTCCTGCAGCTTTTTACCATCTAGGCCAGCTTTAGCCGTCAAAGAAGAACATCCTTGAAGATGCTTTGCATGTATTCTGCACTCTAACCACTAAAGGTTTAGCCTAAAGCAGATGAATAAGAAAAATGTTAACTTTCCTTGAAAGCTCCATTAGCTTTGAGCCAAAGCTGCTTTAAAAACTTCTAACAATCCTCTTTACCAGATTTTTCTGTTCTCAGTATCTTAAGTAGTAGCTTTGGATTACTCAAGTTGTTTCAATTGGTTTTGTTCATCTATTACTGACCTTACATGATAATTACAAGTGGTATATTCAAACAGAAAATAGAGCTAACAGGAAACCAACAAACCAAATCAATCAAGAAGCCCAGACACACTTTTATTTCCTCCGATCCTCAGCTTATTCTGATGAAACTCACTGTGTTTTCCCTCCAGAAGAGACATATAGTCCCTCCAGTTTCTTCTGGATCTGCACTGGGGTCTTCTTCCAGTGGGACTTTTCTGAAGACGTCACCATGATCGTTTCCTTGAACCTCCTCAAACCATTTCTTTAGATGACAATGAGTATCTATTCTCAGCTGAAAGAGTTATTAGAGCTTTGCACCTCATTTACACTGCTCCCTGGGCGCCCCACCATGGCAGCCCACTGCTCCCCAAGGAGATGGGTGAAATGCAGAGGTAAACATCTCTAATGTGAGATTAATAAAGTTCAATTATTTATTAATTATCTCCAAGGATGAGCCCATTCACCCTCAATCATTCTGCAGACAGCTGACACTCAAACCGAACCAAATCTTCAGCAAATAGCAAAGCTAAAACATTTCTTTATTAAAATCAGAGAGCCTTGTGGACTCCAACATGCTCTCGTAAATAAGCTCCACCTTGGGGCCAGCATGCTATTACCTCCTGCCTTTGGTACTAAAGGACTGTATATTCCTTAAAAGCCTCTCTGAAAAACTACTGGTAGAGTTGCCTTTTCCAGATTTGTCATATAGACCGGACGACCAACGTTTCCTCAGCAATTCTGTGATAGTAGAATATGGTCAGAAAGGAAGTCACTGCTCCTTAGAGAATCTTACCCAACATATAAGAACAGATATTCACATTGATGCTGGGAAGAATTTTTCTTCGTGGACAAAAAACACACGTATTCCTAAAAACAGGGACCAAAACTTTCCATGTTATGTTCAAGTTCTTCATATGACACTTAAGACTCTTACCAACTAATAAAAGGTCAACAGTTGTTGCTGGGCAGCTTTGTAATGACCTAAGATTCCTCATATGTGGTGATTGCCTGGCTGTGTGTTTCCTGGACGGGGCCGCCTTTTACAGCTGCTTTTTATGTCTCTGCTTCCGTCTCCTTGAACCCCAGTCGGCCTCGGCAGATGGCCGCTCACACTGAGCCTGGTTCTGCTGGAGGTTTCTTCCTGTTAAAAGGGAGTTTTTCCTCTCCACTGTCGCTACAAGCATGCTTAGTGTGAGGGATTGTATTTGAGTCAATGAATCGATACAATCAACTGGTTTTCCTTAGATAGAAAACTTTGTATCAATTTGACTGTATGATCTGGTTGAACTGTAAAGTGCCTTGAGATGACATGTGTTGTGAATTTGGCACTATATAAATAAACTGAATTGAATTGAATTGAATTGATTCTTTCTTTAAATACATTTTGAATTAAAGTTTTCAGATGGGCGGCTTAAGGTCAATCAGCAAGACTAAGAACATAGTCTAGTAAATCAAGAGCTTTTTTTGATTTTCGGGCATAAATGTACTGGTATATTTGGGATGATGTGTGTGTCAAGACCCACTTGACTAAATGATGGTTTCGACTTAAATAAACAGAAAAGTTGACAAAGTTGATAAACAGAAAAATTGTCTTAATTCCTTTGTGCTCTACTGTTGGTTAGATTGGTTTCTTTTTTACTCTCACCAAAGATTTTGTTCCAGAATAAGTGAATTCTGTTTACATCCCTAATGTTTTTCTCCTAATTTTTTTGCAAATTGTAATTGTTAAATAGTCTGGTGACATTGTTGCCTTGAAGCAGAAAGTCCTGAATTTCCAATCCCAGCCAGAGATCTACCTGCGTGGGGTTTGCATCTTCTGCCAATACATGGATGGTTTCTATCAGACTTCCTCCAACAGTCTGAAAACCCAGCTGTTAGGTTGATTGGTAAATCTCTATTGTCCAAAGGTGAGAGCATGCATGCATGGCTGTGTGTCTCTTTATTTCCCTTTGATGGACCGGTTATCTGTCCAGGGGGTTCCTCACCTCTCATCTGTGCAGAATTGATTTAATTTATTATAAATTCACTGTTATCGGTTGGAGCTCATGAAAGACATTAATGACCACTAATGATGGTCTTAAAGTAAGCTTACCTTTTAGTTTAGATAGTCTGATGCTCTCAGTTCATTAAAATATCCAAGCAGTTTCAAGCTAATGAACTCAATGCAGAAAAAATATGACTCCAATGTGTGTTACAACATGCTAAGATGTTTGATACTCTATATTAAACTAATATCTCACCAGCCTACATTAGGAGAAAGCTGACACACACACACGGTGTTGTTCTGGTGTTGCTTTACGCTTGTGCCAACAAACGGACTTCTCTGCAAGAAGGATTTTATTATGCCTTTTAAACTCCAACAACCGCAATGCCAGTTATTTGAAAGCAGCTGCCTCCCACACACTTTGTCACTTGCTTTGTGAGGAATAAAAAAGACCAAACAGCTTAATTCAAAAATAACAAGCAATCCCTTCAAGCGCTGATGATGTATTCAGTGTCAAGCTGTGCAAACATCTCTGCCGGATCGACAACTGCATATATATACATATATATGCATTTAAACACTCAGCCAGTAGTGTTTTTGTATCATAGATGCTTCTCGCATTTCTCTAATCCTCTCCTACAACAGGAATGGAGAATGCTTTGTCTCCCACATACTGCACCCTGCATATGGCACCAAATGAACAGTTTGCAGAATAGGAAGAGAGCGAGCTGCATTATGGCTCGTTCTAGTGTGGTAGTTGCCATGGAGAGGAGTGTAGGTGGTGTACTCTGTGCTTACTCCTTCTCCGTGTCCTCTCCCCCCTTTCCTCTGTTGCCCACCCTCTCTGTTCTGCTATCTGCAACATTCATGCAACTTTCAATCCTATGCATCTACTCAGAGGTCACTGCTGAGATGCTCAATCCTATGCTTCAAGCTATTTTAAATGAGATAAAACTGAAATAAAATGTATGAAAAATGGTCTTGCTTGAGGCTAATATTAGCAGCTCCATTTACAATTTTGTTTAGCAAAAATATGAAACACCACAATGTAA